AACATACGTTACACAAAAATTAAGTAAGGATAATGCTAACGCTAAAATTCAGATTATTGTATGCTGAAATTAAAAAATCTGATTGGTTAGAGTTAGGGTGATCGGCAAAATTTAACTATTAATTTCAGCATCTCCTAATCGAACACTTTGTTTTGGTGATGAGGTAGAATCATCCAATGAAGTTACGGCTTAAGCTAGAACTTATGTCATAACTAGTTACGGCAATCATTAGGACGATTCTACGTACCACATCACTACTTCAGACAATATTAAACATTTTCAAAATAAAACTTGAGAAATACTTAAAAAGTTATTTTAAATTGTAACTTTAAAATTACTTTTATTATACAGAATGAAACTTTTCTAGTAATATTTGTGATATAACTAAGAATTCTTTCTCGTGTTAGAAAATAGTTCAAAATCAGATTATTGCAAAAATTAATAGAAATTGCTAAGGAGACATGTGTAGTTGTATTTTATCCAACAGATAAAAAGTTCTTGGTATCTTAAAAGTATGACTAGTGATGGGACTGACTAGGGTTAAAACAAGGTGGTAGTTTGATTGCCACGCATCATGACCATTGAAAGATATAATTTTTATATGCGCTATGATACTTTATGATACGTGACAATTAAACTACCTCCTTTTTTTAACCCAAGATTTAACTATATACATAATATCTTAATGTCTTAAAAAAAAAATAGTAAAATAGTTTTTATTTATTATATTAAATTGTCAATGCTTAACCGTAAAAAGAGATACTGTATTCTATAAAAAAAATATATTGATAGAAAAGATTAATAAATTTAATATTAGAAACAGAATAAACAGAATATATATGTTTATACTTGCTGGCAAAATTCCAAGTTATTATAAAATTAGTTTGTCCACGCTCAAATCCCAAACTCTGGTCAAATTCATATTTCAAAAAGTTTTATTAATAATCTTTATTCAAATAAATATCATATATTCTTATTGTTATATATAATATATTGGCAAAAATTTCAAGACTATTTTTTCAATTTTTATAAACAGTAATTGTTTTTTTTTTTTTTTTTTGAATTTGTCCAGGTTTTGCTATTTTGCCAGCAAAGTATAAATATTTTAAATAATGTGATATCTTTTTTCTTGTATTGATAAAATTTTCAGTGCTTTAAAAAAAAAAGCTTGGTAATTCCTATCATACATAAATAGAAGAGATTATTTTCAGAGATTTTGAAATTTAACAGTTATAGAGAAAGTAATGTTTTAGTCGACATATTTTTAGAATAATGTATACTATCCAATTATATTGAGAGTTCTTTTATGAGTGGTCATGTGAATAGAAATAAACTTCAATGATATAATGATAATTCTGCGGAATTTAGAATTGCTAAAATATGAGGAAAAAAAAAGTGCCAATTGATGTTTAATCCGAACTATATCGGAATAGTTAAAAATATATATATATATATATTTAAGTGAATAACATTTAATATTAAAAGAAAATCACAAATAAATATGCATTCCCAACACATGCATTCATTTTTTCAATGAAGGATCAAATTTTATCAGTTATATAATTAGCATATATACTACACTAGAAAAGGTATTGAAATCTTGATACAATTTCATACAAGAAACCAGATCAGCGATACATATGCGGGATTGTTACTGGTACCAGGATGATTTTTTTTTTGTAAGGAGGGACCCAGGTTTTTTTTTATTTATTTATAATTTTTATCGTGTTTACCACGATTAGGGAAAAAAGGAATAATTTTAAAAAAATAACATGTGCATACTTCGATCTGACCAAATACATGGTCTTAATAGTTTGTCATACCAATATCGGCACCGCGTTCAAGATTTGATACGAAAAAAAAAAAAAAGAGTTTTACATTACAAATTACCACGCGAACTATTTTTAAATGATATGCGGGATGATAGAGTTTCGATTACACAGATAGATGATCGATAAGATAAGTGTTTATTAAAATAATTTGTGAATAAGTTTTTTTTATTTTACGGTATTTTGAATAACAAATTTAGGTAATTTTCCATTGTAAGACCGACCAGTTGTCGATAATTGGAATTAAATATATTAAAAAAAGAAATGAAAATGAGTATGCATTTTTTTTAATAATATAAATTTTCCGTAATTTCAGCACACGGACCATGATCTAGTCTAATTTCGATAAATTAATAGCCCTATAATCCATATATCGTTTTATGACATGTAAATAATCATTTGACAGTAATATGAATAAAATAAAAACTAAAAATAGGTCAAATATGAGACAATATAATAGCCGAATATTTTGCGATTACGGGAAAATATTAAATACAATAAAGTTTCATCCTTTGAAGATTCGAAAGAAAATCCATAAACTTTCCAAAAATATATAAAAAAAAACAATAAACTCATTCCTGATCGGTCCCGAGTGGAATTAAAATTTTAAAAAGAAAGTTAAGGACAAGTAAAGTAAAGAAGAAGGCTAGAGAATGCAAGTTTCAAGATTTTTTTCCCAAACAAAGTCACGGTAAAATTAAATAAATTAATATTAAAAATTTAATAAATTATACCGATTAAGGTAAGCCGATTATATAATAAATGGGGCAATAAATAGTGTATTAGATAATAAAAAGAATAGATAATAAATTTGCAAATTGTTTTACAGATCTATAAAGGAAAGTACCCAGGAATTGATCTATTAATATGAAATGTGCATTATACATGCATTCATGATTTCCCAATTACAAACACGAAGCAAGAATTCTTAAATGTGTGAGGCGAATATTGAAGAAAATTTGACGGACATAAGCAACATCGGCTGTGCATAAGTACAATAAAGTTAAAAGGATTATTATATAAATTAAATCTGAAAATGGAATTTAAAAAAAATCTTAAAAATAACCGACAAATAAAATACTATATATTCTATTTGTTTGAGGCTTATTTGTTGGCACCTTTTTTTTCTGTTTGTTAGTCATTACCGGATTCCGAAAGACTGGGCTATTGTGTATAATAATAATCAATTTATTAATTTGTAATGACCCGATCCTACACGGGACCCCATATAATATCAACTTTTGGAAAAGACAATAGGTGATTTACCTCAATGATACTCACCTAGTCAATACATCAATACCGTTATACCAAGTGATGGGACCCTTAACTCTGAACCAGTCAATGAATATTTGATGAGAAATTTAATAAAATTTGATGAGGTTACGTAAAAAAAAAAAAAAAAAAAAAAATACGCAAACAATTCGAACAATGTGATAATTAATTCTTTACCATCTATTATTGGATAAGAATAATTAAAATAATCAAATATCATAAGATGTGGAGTTGAAAGACCCTGGGCCAAGAAGGATCTAGCGAGATTGAGTAATAATAAGAAATTTATAGATTATTTTTCCATCATGAATGCTAAAAGAGAAATACTGCGTACATACAGTACGTGGAGATAAAACGCCGAGACTCTCTTTTTACATAACAATTTTTCCTTATTCTTGTGTGCACCGGATTAATGGAGACTAGTCACTCCTGATCAATAGTAATTGATGCAGATGAATATAGATAGAGACAAGATCTCTTTTTACACTGTTACACGAAAGTATGCGCATGTCTATAAACAATCTAAAAAGTTACTTTATCATAAATAAATTATTAAATAACCTTTCTAATACTGTATATGATGTTTATGAGAGTGTGGCGATATTGCTATTATTTTGAATCATCAAGAATATAATTTATTGTGAAATCCGCATATGTGTCATAATTAATAACTACAATGTGATTACCCTGGATGGTGTCAATCAGGCCATCTAATACCGTATACTTTGTTGATTGAAAGCTTATTTTATAATATCATATTATTATTAATAATAGCATTTATTGAATATATGTATAAATGCGTTAAAAAATTTTTTTTTGTATAGATATCAGTATTAAAGTCGGACATTTATTTCAAGTACAATTTATTGTACCTGCATGTTATTTAATGGAATAAGAATATTTAGAGTAGCTTTTTCTCAGTTTTCCCTTCGCAAGTACTTATTTAAATTTTATTTATTTTATTTTTATTTTATTATTATTTTTTTTATTTATTTGTATTTATTTATTTATATTTATTTTATTTTATATAGTATATATACTTCTATGAAAAACTGTCAACTTTTTTAGAGTAACGATTGACAGCCAACGAATGTTTTGCATGTAGGAAGAAAATCAACAAAAATAATAAAATCTTTTTCCTCAACAAGTAAAGTAAATGTGCGTGAGTAAAGTGTTGTAGGACAACCACAAGGATAATTGACGACCAATTTTAAACTGAAAGGGGAAAAACCATTATAAAAAAAAAAAAAAAAAAAAAAAAATGGTTTAATCAAATTTATATTGAGTCATAAAAAAAATTTTTTTTATAAAAAGGGTCACCTCCCACGTTCGAAGCCTGCCTTTTACTTTTGAGCATTGGTGAGACCAGACTCCAGTCTCCGTCTTGATCTCTAATGAACCGTTTTAAAAATCTTTATTAATGACGACCTTGTTATTTTTAAAATAATTGCTTTGTTTAATGACGAAAATACTTTTATCTTTTTTTTTTACGATTTTATGACCCTTTCTGCAACATATTACCCTTTATATTATTCCAACCTCATTTTTATCAACTCTCACTTCTAAGTAATTTTATGACTCCATCTTTATTTTCTTATCTACGATCAAATTTATTATCCGACTAAAACTTTTATATGTTAACAATACATGAAGTATTGGAATTTATTATATTAAAATTTATTAAATATAACATTTAAACAATTTTAATTTGCTGTCTATTTTCGTCCATTTTTATATAAACAATACCATTCTCGAAAAAAAAAAAAAAATTATATAAAGGCTCAGCTCAAATCCTTTTTTTTTTTTTTTTTTTTCTCAAAATATTTTTGATTATCATATTTTATTTTATTTTTTATCAATTAAAAATTATCCAAAGAATACTTTTTTCAATTAATAATAATGACTTTCCAACAAAGAATTAAAAGTTCCACTACAACGAGTATAAATCATATTCACTCTGTTGGGATTATTAATTGTGATTCTTTGAATATTTCCTCTAATTACTCAAACACCGTATCTACCATCACCTCTCGTAAACGAAGAAATACTCTTCACATCCTTATTCATGCAACTATTCAATTGCTCTCTCCACCCCTAACTTCACCTACCGCAATTAGTTCTCCAAATCTTGTTAAACAAGAACATTGTTCATCACCATCGTCTATTCTTTCGAACGACGAGTCTTCATATGTCTCTTTCCCTGAATTTGAGACTTATGATTACAATGACGTTAATGATTTAAGTATCAATAATGCGATGGTTCAAATGGAACAATTTGATGAAATGTTTGTAAACGGTGTTAAAGTTCCCTCTACTCATCTTGACTAAATGAGGAAATTAAAAGTCTTTTTTACCAAAAAATGTCCCAAATTTGGTACTATGATTAGAATTTACTTAATAACATTAAGCTATTTCTAAGGAGATTCTCTTTATTTTATTTTATTTTATTTTATCGAGAAAAAAAAATCTCACTATTTTTGGAAAGGGGAAGAAAACTAAATTTTGTTTTCTTTTTTTTGTGTGTGTGTGTGTGTGTTCATCATCACCCTTTTTTTTTTTTAAGAAAATTATATCGATTTTTATTCGAGTTTCAAAATGATTTTCTCTTTATTACACATGACAAACAGAAAAAAACGGAAGAAAAAAATCACTTTGGGATTAATTAAAGTTTTTTTCTATATTTCAAACAATCCTTACCTTGTTTTAACTTTTTACCTTTACGATCGAAAGATAATTTTAGATTCTTCGTTATACTTTCTCGAATCTGAATTATCAAAATTCGTTAAGCCTATTTCGAAAAGGTATCGGATTGTATAGAAAAAAACAAAAAAAAAAATAATCTTCGTGTTTTTCCCAACCGTTGGGCAATCGAGTTACTACCTAGGCCTAGGCACGCGTGTTACCTCCGAAAACTCGATTGATTCGGGTTGATTTCTATATGTATTCGGAAATGGAAGAAACAAAGAAAGAACGATTTTCTTTTTTACGGATTAAACTCTTATTATAAGCAGATAATTCTCGAAAATGAGAATACTGATTTATATTTCGTGAACGAACGAATTAACGAACGGACAATTTATTCAAATTAAGTGATGGAAGAAATTTTATTTCTAAAAAAAAAAAACGCAATTTTTAAAATATTTCGGAAAATAGAGAAAGTGCAATAGCGTATTATCCTATCCACTTTTTTTTTTAAGTTTTTTTAAAAACTGGTGACATTTATACTATAATCGAGCCTTTTTGTATATATACCTCATATCTGTCTATTTTATTCAAATAGCTTTTTTTGAGAAATTCTCGTATTATTATTTTTTTTTTCGTTATCATTTTTACATGTGATAACTTTTTTTTTGTTTTCTCTTTTATATTTTGTACTTTTCTTTTCGTTGTGTTGTGTTTCATTTTTTTTTTTTTTTTGTATATATAAATATTTTTTCTCTTTTTTTGTTCTTTATTTTCTTATCTTTTTATTTTCGTAACAATTATTTTTAAATATGAAAGAAACAAGAAATCAAAATTTATTAAGACTTTGTATATTAAATAAAAAAAATCCAGTGATTTTATGGGTTACGAAAAAAAAAAAAAAATTCTCACGTGTTTAAAACGTGTAAATGAATTAGGCAAGAAAAATTTGTACGTATTTCTTGATTATATTATTACGCGTGATCGTTTGTTTATACTGAATCATAAGTATGTAACAGATCGACTTTTTTTGGTGATTCTTTTGAAACTCGTATGTAAACGTGAGAAATATAGACCAAGTCCAATATTTTCGAAGTTAAAGATCTAAATATAATAATATTATCATGAAATAATTTATTATAAAAAGTTAATGTTAAAGAAATATTTTTAAATTCTGGATTTTGAACACATTTTTGGTAAGTGTATGTTACCAACCATTCATCCATGTGGACGAAAGGAGTATTTTTTAAATTCTTTGTAGATTAAATTTGGAGTAGTCGATTTTTTTTGCGAATTAATCAAAGAAATAAATTAATTTTGCTACCTTTGGAAATATTGCGTTTGAAAATTTTTACTCAAGTATCCAAAGTAATTTAACTATAAACCTTTTTTTGCTTGGTTTACCACGCAAAAATCCCAACTAGGGTTGTAAATAACTTACTTGACAATGTAACTTAAAATTTATTATATAAGTTTACATGATCTTGTGTAAAAATTATAAATATAAGATGCGTTTAAACATTAAGAAAAAAATAATAATTTGAAAATGATCTAATTTAAATTACAAATATGGAATACTAAAGCTTGCTTTGGATTAATGTAACATACGTAAATTAGGTAAGTTAAAGAATAATTTATTGTCAACAGATTGGCCGGTACTAACTATAATGCTGGTCAAGCCGAAATTCAAAAAAAATTATAATAATTTCAATAACGGATAACTTTTTTATTACTATATTTCAACGAATTACAGTACAATCTAAATTTACACAATTACACAATTACACACTTACATAACGATATCAGATAATCGATATGATTTATAATCCGGGTACTTACAGTATACAGCAAGTTATATATAACAGATAACGATAAGAAGTCTTTCTTATCGGCTTAATCAATTGCCAAGTGTAGCGTTTTCATTGGTTAAGAGAGTAACACATTTTGGGGGTTTAAAGCTCATATAAATTTAATTATTAAAATTAAAGTAAGGGTTTGTCCAGAGGGTAAGTATAGTAAAATTGCCTTACTGACATTTTTATTAGTGGATTGAAATAGGTTTAAACAATCGTTTCATTTTTGTTATAAAAAAATTTTACGGACTTATTGGCTCTTGGTCATGTGATTGCACACGGGCTGTTAATACTCCAGAGTAGTGATTTATATGATTCAATGGAGTAGTTTATACATTGTTTATACTATGGAATTACTATTTCTACTACTCCGGATTAGAAATACATACTGTATATACTGTATAGTATACAGTATAAAGCGGCCAATATTGTGATAATCTGGAGTGTAACTCCAGTGTAAATAGAGTTTGATTTGGAGTATCGACTCCTGATGTGGTGTGGTTTTAAGAGTAGTTTTTCAACTAACGATTTGTGTCACTAATTCTCAGTAATTTTCCGAGATCAGTTATTGAAAATAACAGTAATGTTAAAAACTTACGATGCGTATGAGCTGATTTTTTCAAAAAATCGCCAAAAATCATCTCATATCGATATGTTATCAGTTATTGATAATGTATATGATACGTACATGCATGTGATGACCTGATTGTACTTCCAATAAAATTTTTCGACTTCCATCATAACCGGTCGGGTCAAAATTTGCAAATCTTTGAAGAAAATTTTTAACCATATTTACTCCGGTTGATTTTTTTCAAAAACCTGTAAAATAAAAAAATTTTTATATGTTTGATATATAAAATTTTTTGAAAATAAAATTAAAAGCCGGGTTAGCCGGATCAGTTTCTAAAACTGCCGGTTGTTTGGCATGTGATTATCACATGTATTTTGCGTCCATTAATAAAAACAGACTCGAGTTATTAAGTTTTATACCAAATTTTTTACAATGAATTTTTGTTTACCTGACAACGTAACTAACGTAACTTACAATGCAAGTTACTTTACCCTAGTGTTCCTCACGGGCCGTATCGGATCGGGTTTTAGAAAAGACTCGAACCCGACCCGAAAAGCCTGATCGGTTCAAATAATGGACCCGGAACTGACTATAATAACCCGAAACCGGCCCGGAACCGTTAAAGCAAAAAAACCTCATTATACAAATTTATCCCTTAATCTGTAGGCTATTTCCAGGCAAATTTGCCTGGAAAATTTTGTGTAATACTTCTATGATCTACATTTTTATAAAATTAAAAATTTAAACAAAAAATTTTTTTAATAAGATTTGAAAATAAGGATTATATAATTGTAGTATTTATTTTTATTTTATAAGAAAAATAATATAAGTTACCTATATATTAAAGTTATATGACTTTTGAGAAATTTTTTATTCAAAAAATTTGTTACTTATTCTTAATGAACTTATTAATTATTAGTTCTCAGTTTTTTTTTTTTTTTTTTTTTAAAGTAGTTTACTATACTGAGCAGATTTTATTAGTTAATATATAAGATTATTTATTGATAATGCTTTACAGTTTGTAATTACATGAAGAGTGTACAACCTGCTATATGTATAATTTTAGTCATTATCTAATTTAAGTAGTTTGCTATATAAGTAGATCTTCTGTTTGGTTCTACACAAGCTATTATATCTGTAACCTGTTTGTAAGTTACTTATTTAAATACTCTGTTTAACTAATCTATACTAGAATCAACTAACATCATCATAACACCTAACTGCTTAAGCCAACTAGTTTGTTATAGATCTATTTACCTAACTCAGCTTAGGTCCTTTCAGAATATATATTGTTTAATATATTATGAGCATGTAGAGCTCTAGTTAATCTTATAAGCAAACCTACTAGAGTAGCTTGTACCTATTTTACAAGTTTATCTAGTTTAAATTCTTGTAATATTCATATAACCCTAGTTTCTACTGTAGCTTTTCACTGATGTTATTTGCTGATCTCTTTGGATATTTTACAAGATAAATTTTTCCAAATTCAGTTAGCTACTAAGCCAAGTTAGTATTGCTAATTCTCTTTATAAAACAAACTTATTTGTACTTAACTTGATCTATATATTTTGAGTAACAGTTTCTATTCAGATCAAGCATTAGCTAGTATAACTATTGAAAGTCTTATTATTTTACCAACTTAGAGTTTCTACTATACAAGTCTCCTGCTTATAGATCCTATCAAAATTTATTCATACAATATTATGTTGTACTTCCAATATTTAGATAATATTAGTACAATGAGATTTATAGAATTACAATCTTAGAAATAGACAAAGTTTACTTTAAGTTGAATACAAAGGTCTGAATATTATTCAAATTCATCAACAGACTCTTAGTTTTTTTTTATTTTTTATTTTTTTTTAATGTTAAGATGAGGTTTTGCCTTTATCTTTATTAAAATTTGTGTAAAATTCTACAAGAGGTTTTTCAAAGTTATAAATTTATATACTAGAATTAAGACTCAGACTATAAATAGTAAACTATCTAATTTATCTGCAATCTAAACCTACTAGAGTGGTTAAAAACTCACCTAGATTTGGATATTAATGATTGTGTTAGATAGATAGCTATATTTGGCCCACAGAGTCGACCAAATATCTATTTTATGTTGTGCTAATTCTAGTAAGGGACATAAGCTATTGTTGTTATGTAATTGATCAGGTTGCCCACATAGATATAAGTATGTATAACCTATTTTAAAGTGGTTTGTACGTGAGGAG